GTACTCTTGAAGAAATGGCTTTAAAAATAGTTCTTTCAATTCTTTTTAAAATGTTTTTATTTATTTAAAAAAATTTTTTAATGATTTATTTATTTCTGAGAGAGAGAGAGAGCGTAAGCAGGGGAGGGTCAGAGAGAGAGGGAGACACAGAGTCCGAAGCAGGCTCCAGGCTCTGAGCTGTCAGCACAGAGCCTGATGCAGGACTCAAACCCACAAACTGTGAGATCATGACCTGAGCCGAAGTCGGACGCTTCACTGACTGAGCCACCCAGGTGCCCCCCCCCTTTTTTTTCTAATGTTTTTAAAGTTTATTTATTTTTGTGAAAGAGATACAGAGACAGAGTGTGAGCGGGGAAGAGGAGGAGAGAGAGGGAGACACAGAATCTGAAGAAGGCTCCAGGCTCTGAACTGTCAGCACAGAGCCTGATGTGGAGCTTGAACTCACGGACTGTAAGATTGTGACCTGAACCGAGGTCAGATGCTTAACCGACCGAGCCACCCAGGCACCCCCTTCCAAATTACCTTTTTTAAAAAAAAGCTCTAGGTTTGGGGTACGAAGTAAAAGTAAAATACTGATTTGGTTATATTTTCTTATGTTTTTAAATTTGAATCAAAACATAGCTGTATATATTGTAACCTAGTTATTTGTTTATAATCAAGGTTAACACTTGCATTAAAATGTTCCAGATTTTTTCTTATTTATAGGCAACCACTCAGAAAAAGAAAGCTGACTTACACAGAGAGGCATAATGAAAAGATCAATCAGTTGGATGTCAGAAGAAATAGGCTACAGGGGCACCTGGGTGGCTCAGTCAGTTAAGCATCGGATTTCAGCTCAGGTCATGATCTCACGGTTCGTGGGTTCGAGCCACGTGTCCGGCTCTGTGCTGACTGCCAGCTCAGAGCCTGGAGCCTGTTTCAGATTCTATGTCTCCCTCTCTCTCTGACCTTCCCCTGCTCACTCACTCTCTCTCTCTCTCTCTCTCTCAGAAATATATAAAACATTAAAAATTTTTTTTTAAAAAGAAGAAACAGGTTACAAGTCTGGCTTTGGTACTTAAGATCTTTTAACAAACGGGCAAGTCATTTAGTGAGGGGCAAGATAACAGGTGACAGAATTAGGGAGGGGAAGAGAAAAGGAACTTCATCAAATTCAAAGTAAAATTGGGAGGTTGCAGGTAAAATGTTATAAGAAGATCTAAAAATCATGCATGGGAATGTAATAGAGTCATTCAAAATTGGGTGTATTTGTGGAAGTGGTGTGCGTGTGTGTGTGTGTGTGTGCGCGCGTTTGTGTGTGTGTGTTTAACCTGCCTGGCATGTTGAACTGGTTATAATTTTTTAAATTTTAAATTAAGATCTTCTAAATCTCCTGGAAATGTATGGTGTTTAGATACTGACAAACGGTGGGTCCGATAAAGTGAAGGAGCAAGTGTCAGAGCCGTGATTGTACACAGGTGCCATAAAGAAGTGACTCGATTGGATGACTGGAAACACAGCCCACTAATTTTCCCAAACCCAAACTGCAAAGTGGTCAAATACCACTGTTACTGCCAACACTCTGTTTTCCCAAACCCTCGAAAAGTAAAAATGTTGTCATTATTTGATATTTCTCCCTTAGGAAGTAATATAACAGTATTTAAAAATACCTGAATTCTCTTACTAGAACTAGTCTTAATTGGCAGAAAATGGAAATCAATTCAGCTGTGGCCAACTCCCACTACTAAATCTATACTTTCTTCCCAATATAATAAACATAGTGTGCAATTATGAACCTGGGAACAAAGTTCCCCTAGTTGAAAAAAAAGCAAATGTGTTTGCAAGTCTCTAATGAGGTAAACAGCTAGCACTAATTGCAAAAAAAAGTAAGTGCCACAGGACCAAACATCGGCAGTTGGGAGGCGCCTCTGTGGTTGGGGAAAATGGAACCAAGGTACAACTTTTATCTCTAGAAACGAGTATGAATAGGACTGCATAAGTGTGCGGTTGTAGGATGGAGACCACGTGCCATTGATCATTGCATTCCCAGCACTTAGCAGGGGGCCTGGCATACAATGAGCACTCAGTAAAGGTTTGTGGAATGAGAGAATTCTGCAATTGTAGCTTACACAGTGTTTTTCTAACTTTAAAAAATATGGCCAACAGTAAGAAACACATTTTACGCCAGTTCCTGGTACACGCAAACACACATATACATAACACAAAAGTTATGAAGCGACATTCTTTTTTTTACTTTAGGAAGTACATTCTGATAGTTTCTGTTTTGTTCTGTTCTGTTTTATTGGACTTTAAAAAAATATATTGGTTATGACCCACTGAATTGATTTAATAACCACCAGTGGATTAAGACAAGTAGTTTAAAAAACAGGTTTATACTAATATTTATATTGCTTAACTTCTTACATTTTTAGGCTTTACGTTATAGGTCACTTTCAAAAATCAAAAAAAATTTTTTATCTACAAAAATGTTTAGAAAGTATTCAGATCAACTCTAAAATGTTGCAACAGTTCTCCTTCTTCTTCTTCTTCTTGAAGATTTATTTTTGAGAGAGACAGAGCATGAGCAGGGAAGGGTCAGATAGAGAGGAAGACACAGAATCTGAAGCAGGCCCCAGGCTCTGAGCTGTCAGCACAGAGCATGACGTGGGGCTCGAACTCACATACCATGAGATCATGACCTGAGCCAAAGTTGAACACTTAACCAACTGAGCCACCCAGGCGCCCTGTACCAGTTCTGAGTTTACTGTGTTGGGATTCTCTTTGGTCAGTGTTGTTAATTATGGGAATTTGGCCAACCAAAAGCAGACTGGCTCTACCTTACACCATACACAATTATTTTTAAATTTTATTTTAGAAAGAGAGAGGAGGAAGAGAGAGAGAGAGAATCTTAAGCAGGCTCAATGCTCAGCACAGAGCCAGACACGGGGCTCAATCCCACGTCCCTTGGATGATTACCTGAGCCAAAATCAAGAGTCAGATACTCAACCAACAGAGCCACCCGGGTGCCCCACATGATATGCAAAATTTAACTCAAAATAAATCACAGACTTAAATGTAAGAGCTAAGCCTATAAAACTCTTAAGAGAAAATTTAGGAGTAAATTTTTATAGCTCTGGATTAGGACTGATGTCCCTCCCAAATTAGGACCCCCCCCCCAAAAAATAGATAAATTGTATTTCATCAAAGTTAAAATCCCTTTTGCTTCAAATGATGCCGGGAAGAAAGTAAAAAGACAACTTACTGGATAGAAGAAAATATTTGTTAATTACATACCTAATAAAGAACAGTCAATAAATCTTATACATTAACAATAAAATATAAATAACCCAATTTAAAAATGAGCAAAGGATTTTAATAGACTTTTCTTCAAGGAGGGTACAACGTGGCCAATAAGCACATGAGAAGATGCTTGTATGATGAGCTGTTAAGGAGACGTAACTCAAAACCACAGTGAGAGATCACACACATCAGGATGGCTAAAATAAGAAATACAATAACAAGTGTTGAGAAGGATGTGGAGAAATTGGAACCTCTATACATGGCTGACAGGAATGTAAAATGGTCCCGCCACTTTGGAAACAGGATGGCAGTACCTTAAAAAGTGAAACATAGAGTTACCATATGATCCAGCAATTCTGCTCCTCAGTATAATACCCAAGAGAAATGAAAAAATACATCCACACAAAATCTTGATGTGAATGTTCATAGCAGCATTATTCCTAATGGTCAGAAAGTGGAAACAACCCAAATATTCATGAACCGATGGATGAATAAAATAATGTGATATATCCACACAATGGAATATTATTTGATCATGAAAAGAATGAAATATCAATACATGTTACAACACAGATGAGCCTCAAAACATTATGCTAAGTGAGAGAAGCCTGTCACAAAAGACCTTACTGTATGATTTCATTTATATGATATATCCAAAATAGGTAAATCTGCAGAGACACAACTGGCTTAGTGGTTTCCTAGGGTTAAAGGGACCGAATGCAAATGGGGAGGAGGTTTCTTTTGGGGGCGAAGAAAATGTCTTAAAATTGGATTATGGTGACGGTGGTATAACTGTCAATAAAGTGAAAACTGTTGTATTTATATATTTGAAATGCATGGTGTTCATGTAAATTCTGATTATGGTGACGGTGGTATAACTGTCAATAAAGTGAAAACTGTTGTATTTATATATTTGAAATGCATGGTGTTCATGTAAATTCTATCTCAATAAAGCTGTTACAAAAAAAAAAGGCAGATTGGAACTCTGGAATGATCTAGAAGTAGGACACATGCGACACTTCTGTGTCTGAGTTTAGAATGCTGAGCGAGACAACCTGACTTAGCTAGATGACGGGCAAAGAAATGAGGTTTTCAAGGGTCAATAAATGTTCTTTGACGTCCCTAGAGAGCTGTAGCACTTCCTGTTTGAGGGGACAAGGAGCCATTGGGCATGAATCCATTGCCTTAAGCTCTGAACCTTCTCAGAAGTGACCCTCGCTCTCACGAAATTTTACTGCAGACTACAAGAGAGAGCCTTCTGCACCGAAGGGAGAAGAACTAGGCATCCCGCACAAGTTAAGACGTTAAAGTACGAGAGAGCATTCTGGACAAGCAAATGATAAGCTTCTTGACATCAAAAACTTTATTCGTCTTTGCCCCCTCAAGGAGGACAGGGCCTAGAACCAGATGCTCAGCAAATGAGATGGGAGCAAGGGACAGAAGGGAAGGCCTCAAGTTCGCAAGACCGGAGGCTTTCTCGCTGGGCATCTGTTAACCCGCTCTGGACGGGTGGCCGTGGAGAGGCCTGCACAAAAAGAGGCGGCCCGCAGTCTACCCGGGACATTTGCAGGGCAGCGCGCCCCCAAACTGCTTCTCCAACTTGAGATTCCCACGTCCCACGTCCCGCCCCACCCCCACCCCACCCCCACCCCACCCCACCCCACGTGTCCCAGTCCCTCAGTGGAGAAAACACCACTGAAGAATTCAGGAAATTCTGTTAATGAGTTTAAGAAATGCTTTTAATGATTAAAACCCAAACTCTGTCGCTTTAAGGGACTAATGGACACCTGCGTTAAGTACAAATGCAAAAAGGGGGGCACTGAAAGTGTGAGGCACCACCGGGCCATCAGCTAAACGGGCCATTAGAAATACGATTTCATTTCTTTTTTAAGAGTGTCATTAAAAATAACAACTTGGAAGAAAGGAATCTCCCAGACCAGAGTGCGGCGGGGGAGACACACCGGCCTGGGGATGGAAGGCGGGCGCCGGAATCTCGCACCTCGTGCTCTTCCCAGACGTCGCCCCGTGGGCACCTCTCCGAGCTCTGTTCGCTCTGTGAAATGGGACCATTTCTGAGCCGCCTCCCAGCGGTGGTTGCGAGGAACGGACGAGTCGAGTGGGCGCGCGCGAAGGCAGCCCGCGCGGCCAGGGGCCCTACTGTGCGCCGGGCGGCAGGCGCCCCGCGCCGCGCGCTCCCCGCCCCCGCGCCCGCCCCCGCGCCGCGCCGCGCCGCGCCCGCCCCCGGCCCGGCTCGGCCTCGGGCAGGCGGGGCCGACCGCACTCGGAGCCCGAGTCCGCGCCCGCGTCGGAGCCGCCGCCGCCGCCGCCGCCGCCGCCGCCTGGGGCGCTCGGGTCGGCCGCCGGGACGCCGGAGCGGGGCGCCGCCGCAGGTCAGTGTCCGGGTGCGGGGCGGCGCTGGGGGTCCGCGGGGCGGAGGGGAGGCTCCGGAGGGCGGGGAAGCGCCGAAGGGTCGGGGCCCCAGGAGGGCCGGGGCTGCGGGGTCGCGGGGCCCGGGCTGCGGCGTCGAGAGCTGAGGGCACGGGCGCGGGCAGGTCCCGGGTGAGGGGCGCGCGCGCTGAGAAGTCCCGGCGCAGAGAGAGCCCGCCGGGCGCGGGAGGGCACGGGCTGCGCGCGAGACGTCCCACACGGAGCGGCGGCCGCGCACCGGGAGACGCCAGCCGGGCGTCCCGCGCTCCCCGGACAGCCCCCCTCGAGGAAGCGCCTGGGTCGCGCGGTCCGACAGAACCGGGGACCTCCGAGTCCCCGGTGGAGGTGCGCGGGCGTCCAGGAGGCGCTCGAGGCGAAGTTTGGGACCGAAACGCGGGCTCCGATGCGTGTCCGTCCCGCGGCCGCGGAGTCTCTGCTCGCTCTCTCCGGAGCCCAGGCGGCGGGCCACTGTGTGAGGGTCGCGGTGACAGTTCAGCGAGGGGCGCCCTCGGGGGTCCCCCGGGTCCCGGCGCTCTGGAGCGCTGTGCTGGCCGCGAGCCGAGTGGAGGGGCTGGGATGTCAGCCAGACTCCCGGGGGGTCGCGGGGGATGGAGAAGGGCGCCCCCCGCCCCGCCCCCCCGTTAGGAAGAGTGGAATTACCGGGCCGGGGGCCCCCACGCTCGCGGAGCCTCAGCACCCGCTGTGTGTACTCTGAGGTTGGGAGAGGCAGGTAGCTTGACAAAAAGCCCCGGTCCCTCAGTGCAGGGGGTGGAAAGTGGGTGTGTAGTTGTGGTACTGTGTGCCTTGGTATTTGGGGAGGAGCCTAAGGTAAGGAGGCAGAGACTGGGAGTAACCTATTTGCTGCTTTTATATAAGATCGGTTGTTAGGTAAAGAAGGGGCCTTTACCTCTGCTGGGGATCAGAAGGCTGCATTTCTAAAATCTTCTTGTTAGCTTCCGTTGCTTAGGTGAGTCGCCTCACTCTAATTGCATTTTGCGAAATGTGTTGCTGTACCCAGAATTTGCAAGATGATGGGGATGACCATTCTGTAGTGGTTATTCGGCTGTGCTCTTGTTCTAACGTAAGAATCTAATTCACTTGAGTCTAAGGATACTTCACTGTTTTCTTGGGAAGGTAGTATCCGTTTTAGGAGGAATAAAGTCAAATAAGAGTAATCTGTCATGAAGAAGCTTAAGGTTTTCTCCTTTTCCTTTCAAGATCAGGGGATGAAATGTAAAATTAATTTTGTAAATCATCGTCTGAAAACAAAACCAGGCAAGATGCTGAATGAGTTGTAGGAGCCCAACTGCTGGAGAGGCTCCTTATTTTGAAGTACATTATTTTAATGTCAACTGTTTTTGTCCTTCACGAAACAACTTGTAAGCAGAGTTGTTGAGAGAACACTAATAACTTACTCTTTAAAAGGACCCGGGTATCATCTTCTTCCAGAAATCTCAGGCGTTGGGTGGCAGTCTTCTGTCTATAGCTGAACGATCAATCACTGAGAACAGGACCAAACGGGCGGTGTTAGATGATTGAGGAAACCCTTCTGATATAGAGACTGACATAGACATTCCCTGGGGCTTCTCTTTTAAAGAAATACTTCACACTCTTATGATTGTTTCGTGGAAGACACTTACACGTGTTACCGGTTAGTGTTAGTAGGAGTGACGTTTCAAGAGAACCTGTTCAAGTTTTAACATAATTTTTATGTTGTCTATTTTCAAGTCAGGTGCTCAGATTCATTCTGTAGCTAATATGGCGCCATAGTCTTCTCTGGTATAGGAGAATTTAAAACTAACTTTATGTTAGCCACAAAAATGAAGCTTGTTACAAAACCATCTATTTTTGCTTTACTGTGTACTCCACGTGATTTTTCTCCTGTATTTCAGTTATATGATATGTTATGTGATATGTTCACTTGCTGATAATTATATCTTAATGCATCTTAGAATCACCTGGTGACCATCTCAACCTCTTACAACTCATTGGAGGGGAGAAATGTGGGGTTTTTTTTCATTTTAAAATCAAAATCTTTTTCATATTTAAAAGTTTGTTTCTAGTCTTTTCAGTAACTACTATAAAAGCATGGCATTGATGAAGGCTGAAGGCTTGGAGAATTCTGGGCTGAGATTTTTGGACATTGCTTTTCGTTCTTTTAAATTTAAAAGGATATAATTTTTAAAAAGCAAAACATAAATGTCTGCCAGCATCATAGTCTTTATTGAGCTTAAAGTACTTTTGGAAGTATTTTTGTGATTGGTGTTTTTAATAATTGAATACACTGTTTTCTTTCAAGGGACAAATTTCCTTAATGTTCATTTCTTTGTATATTTCAGAATTATATTTAAAAAACAGTGTATCATAATTTTTAAAAATCACTATTAATTTCAAAATCTCTAGGACATTTAAAATTTATATAGGAGACGAAGTCTGACCTTAGGAATATGAATTAGAAATGCGTTACTGATCACGGCTAATTGCTTTTGGTTAGTAAGTTACAGGACTGTAAACAAATACTTATTTTTCTCTGCTCTGTAATTCTCTGAAAGTAAGATGTTTGCCATGAACTGTAATTATTAGGATAATTCTACATGTGAATGCTATGTGAAAGGCACTGCTGTGAAAACATACACAAGTATTAATACATTTCATTTAGTTTTCAAATTCTGAAATGGTTGTGAATGACAAGAGACTTTCACAAAGTAGGAGAAAAGTGTAAAGTACTACTTTACAAATTTTTTTATAAATCCTGGCCTATACTTTTACTTCTTTCATAGGATCTATGTATGTATGTATGTATGTATCTCTTTATCTGCTAATGGATAACACAGAAAATGTCATCATTCTAATTTGTAGGTGTCCGGCTAAATCCATTGTCACTTGAACTTGAAAATATATGTCTTAAGGTGTAGCAGATATACTGGAAGAAGTTTTTGATCTCCTAACATTTCCACTAAATAAATACCAGTTGTAGAGGATTTCTTTAAAAATCACTGATCAAGAAAACTTGATTTAAGTCACCAATCCGTAAATGTAAAATATGCTCCCGCCTCCTTAAAAACAGTTAAACTGAATTTCTAAGCTGCTTTTCTTATTTTTCCTAGCAAATCGCGATATTAGGGTAGGTGGTTGAGGCCTAAAAGTAACAAAAAATGCTTACGGAGATCTTTTGAAACTGATCTAATTTGACTCCACCAAAGTATAGTAAGATTCTGAATAACCACTTTGTAAGCATAGACAGCCCCCGCATATTATACATGTCGTAACATTCTAGGTAAACATTTTAAATTGAAGAATATTTGAAATCTTCTTGGAGTTTCTTATTTACTATTTGTATTTTACCACAATACAGAAGCAGATTTATATGACGTTATATTTTAGAGATAATTTAATAAAAATGTCACATTTTATTTTTACCAAAAATACTTAACTTGGCTCTTGGAAGGAAACCAATTCAAATACAATAGACCATATTTTGGGGATATCTTTGTAGATACTAAGACAAAAGCTATCACCAGTAAGAGTATATACTTATTTATTTTTTAAAATGTTTATATACCAAGAAATATTTTTCTTCAACAATCAATACATATTAACACTTTAATACTGAATATTGAATTCAGAATATGAGTGTTTACATTTTTCACAGTTTCAGTTATTACGAGGCAAATCACTTGTTCTTTCTCCTATCTGATTACTAAGCAGGCCCGACTCTGCTTTATTTCTGAGATCAGATGAACTCCAGCACAGTCAGGGCGGTAATGGCCAGTGACCACTTATCCTTTCTACTTCTCCATTTCCTCCTCTATGAATTGGGAAAAATATTGCAGTTATCGTTCTATGCTTTTTTTTTTTTTGGTTTGATTTTAAGACTTTATCAGCAAGCCTGTGTGTCTTATATGACCTTGTCCTGAATTTAACTGAGCAGATATTTTAAAGAGAAACTCCATGGTTATCCACGTCGTCGCTAACTCTTCTACAAATTCTAATAATTCGCCGTAGTATTAATTTTGAGATCATTGTTGAGAATGAGCTGAAGATAATACTTGCTATGTGGTGGTCAATTTATAAAATGTTTCTGCAAGTATTTCATCACTGTTTGATTTAAAATTTTACTTCCTATTCCCTGATGATTTTCAATAAAGAAACAGACTAATAATTTTTTTATTTTATTGAGATTATCTTTGTGAGTCCTGCGTAGACACAACGTGGATCCTCTTGTGTCAACATTGCGTGTCTAAGGCCGTCTAGATGCAGATTGTGCTTTTATTTGTTAAGTCCTATTCTTTACATATCTTTATGGTGTCCTCTGCGAGCACTTAATGTATGTTATCCAGGAGCTGGTTTGTTTTATAATGAGGCCTGTGAACCTTCACATCAAAAGACAGGTTATTATCTCAGACTAAAAGACCAAATAGTGACTTGTACTTGTAAGAATTGACTCTTTTTCTGTCAAGCTGTAAACAAAAATCGGCTTTTAGAGGCTTCAGAGTGAGTATGCCTTCTATTAGCCCACCAGTTTACTAGTAGGGAGTAATTGGAAAACCATGCATCATCCAAATAACAAATTAAAATTTTCTTTAAGGTTTATTTTTGAGAGAGGGAAAGAGCGAGAGAGAGCGTGTGCAAGTGGTAGAGGGGCAGAGAGGGAGAGAGAGAGGGAGACACAGAATCCAAAGCAGGCTCGAGGCTCTGAGCTTTCAGCATAGAGCCCGACGCGGGGCTTGAACTCATGAACCCCAAAATCATAACCCGCGCTGAAATCAAGACGCCCAACCAGTTGAGTTACCCAGGTGCCCCAAAATAATAAATTTTAAATTCTGCTTATGAATTTTTAAGTAATACATTTTACTGTGAAGCATCTTCTCCGCAAGAGCGTAAGAGACTTGATTCCAGGTCTGAAGGCCATTCTGTTCCTGGAATATGGAGCTACCGAGCCCACAGAGGAACATAGCTAAAGGGGTAGGGAGACAGGGCAGAGAAAGCTCAGGCTTGTGCCTGGAGTGAGTATTCCTTTTCCTGTGCTTCTCCTTTGGGTTGGGGAGTGGGGAGTGATAGTCACTTCCACTCTCTTCAGTTTGGCTTTCTCAGAGTCATTGCTGTACCTTTAGCTATTTCAGTGACTAGGCAGTTCTCAACTTGAAAATCTTTTATGCGAAAGGGTGCGATGATTTTCCTTTTCCTACTGTGATTTCTCAGATATAAAGGAAAGAAATGAAGTAATCAATTCATGCAACACAAATCAATTAAAATTGAGACTTAAAACTTCATGGTCAGGATTTAAAGTAGATCACATAATGGTTTAATTCAATTTGATTATCTGTTTAGGAAACATTCTACTTCATTGATTTTACAAAATAAATTCATTGCTAGTTTGACTGATCGACTTTCTTTAAAAATGCTTTCATTTGTGGACTCATCAAGGAGAGTTTAAGACTTACAGAGACAAATTTTCTGACCTTCTGGCAAGAGTTCATATTAGCATAAACCTGGGGTGTGAATTCCTTCACAGTTTACCACAGATAAGGAGAAGGGAGATAGGAGGGAGGTAGAAAAATAGGGAAATACCCTGCGTAGGAGTGTAAGAGATCTGTGTATGGCCTACTCCCGCAGTCAGCAGATTGCAGTTACCGTGCATAGACCTCAAATATCAGGTTGGTTTCTAAGAACTCACCGTGCTTCTCAGTGACATCACAGAATAAAATGTCTCTAGGGGCGCTGGGTGGCTTAGTCAGTTAATCATCTGACTTCAGCTCAGGTTATGTTCTCACGGTTTGCTAGTTGGAGCCCCACATGGGGCTCTGTGCTGACAGCTCAGAGCCGGGAGCCTGCTTTGGATTCTGTGTCTCCCTCTCTCTCTGCCCCTCCTCTGTTACCACCCTGTCTCTCTCTCAAAAATAAATAAACCTTTAAAAATTAAAAATATATGTCTTTAAATTCTGAAATTGCCACCTGGCAGTGTTATTCTCTCTGGCTCTGTAAGTTGCTTCAGGAGGGAATCTGGGAAAGTGACTGGAAAGAGGATATTCTTATCCTGTATGT